TTGTTTCAGGTCAAGATCAAAGCCATCAGAGTGAGTCAAACTCTGATGATCAAGGACCTCATTCCAGAACAAAACCGGGGGTGTGTGGTTGTGGCTGTCATTTTGACTCCTCTTTAATTACCCCCTGATTAGAGAAGAAGGGAACAGAAATTCCAGAGCAGGACGATCTGAATCAAGGTAATTTAGGAAAGCTTTTGAGTAACGGGGATCTCCAACAACACTCTTTTTCTACTCATTCCCCATCCCTACCATCACATCCTTAGAGAGATGAACCACAAAACAGCCATAGTGACAAAGTGCCTAGAGGTGCCTTCTTCTGAGGGGGGCCTCTCTAGGACTTCATCTTGATTCTGGAGATGTTAGCGAGTGCCACAATCGGTCCTTTTCATCGTGCCCAATTCTGCGTGGGATTAAGACTTTGAATATGTGTTCCTTTCCTTCACATTAGAGGTGGACAACCTACAAATCACCCTAGGAAGGACAACATGGAATTCTAGGGTCCCCTCACCTGTAGCCTCCCAATTAGGTCAACTTCAGAGGACCAACAGCCCTTTGCTAAGGAGACTCAAATTAAGAGGGTCATTTTTCAGGATGTTACGTTTATGGGGCACCCACATTCACACCAACTTCCAGAGCAGGTCAATTCAACCGTCCCAAAGGACTATCAAGCCAGGATCTGGTTCTATGCTTGCCAGAAGGTCACATCTCCTAAATGACTCAGCGCCGTGACGCAACCCAACTGCAATCCTACTGGATGGTTTTGTAGGTTGAAGATATAAAGCGTAACGTGGAAGCATCAATCAGGGCATACCCAGTGACTAACTACTTGGGAGTAAGCCCTGTTCAAGTCTGATTAAAGGGCATCGCTTCTGTCCTGGATGCCAAAATGACCAGGGAAAGTGAGAAGTGAAAATTAAAATTTGTTAATTAAAAAAAAAACAATAGTTACAGGGTTCCTGACAGCTTGGAAGAAGGCTTCCATTAGGGGAAGCATTTTCACCTTTTAGGAAGTTGAGCTGGTTGTCTCTCACAAGCTGGATGAGTTAAAAAAAAAAAAAAGCACAAGGATTAACTCGCCAATCTTCTTTCGTCAGAAGATAAAGTCATGCCCCCATCTTATTCTTTTTCTCAGATATCAAAAGTTTTGTCAAGGTGCTGATGGAGTCAACCCAGAAGTCTATTCATGGTGTCTTCAAGTCTTGAAAAAAGTCTACAACAGATGGGTGGTTCTATCATGGACCATGAAGGTGGACATCAGGAGATCTAGATTCAAGATAATATATAAGGTCCTTCAACACTATTTTTATTCCCACAACCATGCCATGGGATAGATTAAGACAATGATGTAGTCCTTCCCACAGCTTCATGATGGAGTAGCAATAGCATTTAGACTTATATACCGCTTCTTAGTGCTTTACAGACAATCACCTGTCTGAGATGGTGTAGGTCCTCCTGCTTTGAGCAGGGGCTGGACTAGAAGACCTCCAAGGTCTCTTCCAGTTCTATTCTATTCTATTCTATTCTCACCATAGTTCTCCCTGGTCCTAAGCCATCTTTCTATCCATTACATCACATCAGGCCTGCCTCTACAACGAAGTTCAGATGGAGGTTGCTTAAGACCATCAGACACCCTTCAATCTTGCAGAATCTTTCTTTTCATTAAGAGAAAAGATGGGTTTGGGTCAGAAACAGCCAGAGAGAAAAGTCACTTCACAAAACACCCAGAAGCAACCTTCATTCCATGGAACTAAGCTGGGAAGCTCTCAACTGGCCATTGAAATTTTGACCATTTCTGCCCCTCTGTAGATTGGTGATGGAAGAAGCTACATATCTACGGAGGTCCTCAAGTCATCCAGGACATGTCTGTTCCAAAGGTGCTTGTTCAAAAGGCAACTGGTCTTTGTTTTCCCTTCAAGACGTTTCTCTTCTCATCCAAGAAGCTTCTTAAGTTCTGACCAACAGTTCAGTCAGAACTCATCCAAGCTTCTTGGATGAGAAGCGAAACGTCTTCAAGGAAAAACAAAGCCAATTTCCTTTTGAACAAGCCCTTTTGGGGACATGATGGAAGACACATTTTTGTGCAGTTGCCTGCCTGGTCTTGCCACATTTCTGAACTGCCCTTGACAGCTCATTGTCCAAAAGACATCTCTGAGTCTTCTTTTTTTCCCCCTGCAGGTGTTAGCTGCAGGTTTTGTAATTGAAAATTAGCTCAGAATTGGAATGAGTAATGCTCCAGCCGAATTATTTCAAGATTTTTTTCCTGGGTTGGGCCCCTGACTTTATGATAATGGGACACACCTCGCCCCGGTTATTGAACGTGTCTCAGGCAGATTCCATAAATCAATATGAGCTGACGTTGTGGTTTTATGGACAGATATTTATTTTTCCTTTGCCAGATAACATCTGTTGCATGTCTCCCTCAGCACAGTGCCATGCATAGATTAAACTAAGTGGTGGCAATGAAGACGATCAAGCAGAACATGGAAAGCAATCTTGATTGTCCTCTTCCATCTTTTGAGTTGTATCTCACGTGGCTTCTTGGAGACGGTGGGGGAGAATGATCATCTATGAGCTATTAGGACTTTTTAAAAAAAAAAACAACAACACAAAATTAATGGTGGCTTTCCTGGTCAATCTGAAGCTAGGCAAGTTCCTTTGGCCAACCTTCTTAGAATAACTCCATAAATATATATATGTGTGTGTGTGATATTGAAACCCGGCGGAATTAAGAGGTCTTCTAAATTCAGTAGACCACCAAGGGAAAACCAGACTTAATCTTTGTGTCAATAAAAGAGAATTGGGGAAGGAACAGGAGAGAAACTTTTGTGTTGGATTTGTTCAGTTGGGCTTCGTTCAGATGAGTGCACATACCCAAGTCCATTCTTATTTTCAAGATGTCCTTCGTTTAATGTCGCTATTTTCCCTTCAAAAGTATGTCCGAAGGTGCTAAGAGTGGACAATGCTTTGCACAGTTGATTCACAATAATTTAAAATGTTCCTTCTGGAATAGTCAGAAGGAGCTGTAGGGAAGAAAAAAAAAAGATAATATCGCTGGATCTATGATCTAAGGCAGGGGTAGGCAACCTTGGCTCTTTTATGACTTGCTGGCTCAGGAATTCTGGGAGTTGAAGTCCACGAGTCATAAAAGAGCCAAGGTTGCCTACCCCTGATCTAAGGGATCTGGCATCTCCATATTTTACAGAAACATTGGTAGAAACCAGCTTGCAGGATCTCCTGCAGTTGCAAAGGCCAAGATAAATAGACTTAACAAGACATTCCACGTTGAACATTAGCATCAAGATGAAAACATTCTCCAAGATGTTTGCTAAATTTAATTAATCAAACCAGCTATCTCAGGAGTTACACTGTCAAGGAAGCCTGCTGACTGGTGGTTTTGCCCAGAGGGTAAAAATCAGAATTGCTGAACCAGCATAGATACATTTTGAAATCTTTGCAAGATGGGGCAGATGGTAAGGACAATCTATCCACCTTTGTCAGCAATATTTCAATGTCAGTTGCTGACTGTTAATCCTGGCTCACTTTTGCCACTGATGAAAAGTCCAGCGGTCTTTGACAAATTGAGTTGAATCTCTAAGAAACACCCAAAGAATTAGGAACGAGCAGGAATGATGAAGTTTTGGAATAAAAATTAAGACATTTCAGCGGGTATAAAATAGTAATCTTATAGTCAAATGGGAAAATTCCTGTAGAGGAATTAGAATAACAGAATAATAGAACTGGAAGGGACCTTGGAGGTCTTCTAGTCCAACTCTCTGCCCAAGCAGGAAACCCTAGACCATGGGTAGGCAACCTTGGCTCTTTTATGACTCGTGGACTTCAACTCCCAGAATTCCTGAGACACCATGGCTGGCTCAGGAATTCTGGGAGTTGAAGTCCACGAGTCATAAAAGAGCCAAGGTTGCCTACCCCTGTTCTAGACCATTCCAGACAAGTGGCTGTCCAGTCTCTTCTTAAAAGCCTCCAGTGATGGAGCACCCACAACTTCTGATGGAAGCCATTCCACTGATTAATTGTTCTCACTGTCAGGAAATTCCTCCTTAGTTCCAGGTTGGTTCTCTCCTTGATCAGTTTCCATCCATTGTCTCTTGTCCTGCCTTCTGGTGCTTTGGAGAAGAGGTGAACCCCCTCTTCTTTGTGGCAGCCCCTCAAATATTGGAAGACTGCTCTCATGTCACTCCTAGTCCTTCTTTTCATTAAACTAGACATACCCAGTTCCTGCAACTGTTCTTCATATGTTTTAGCCAGAAGGAGTTTGTGGGAAGATCTAAAATCATTCAGAAGACGTTTGGTTGAATCTCTAAAGGGAATGTGCGCTTCCAATCAAATTATGAGGTCAGATTCAACTGTAAAATCGGACTGATTGCTTCATATGATGGTCTTTCTCCATGGATAGAAAAAGCTCTGCTCACAGTCCATCCGTTTCCCATTGCCAACCCAGAATTCTGGAAACTTCAGATGTTAACCATGAAAAGATGGATAATGTGTAAAATTCAAACAGAGAAGATTTAAGATAGAGGACATTCTGATAGTGTCTGATAAGAAGAAGGAGAAGGAGGAGAGGGAGAAGGAGAAGGAATCCCAAAAGCTAGATGCATGGAGGACACCATCCGTTCTGAGATAATATTTCCGAGTCAAACTTCCAATTCTCTTCAAGCAAAGAAGGGGACAGATGGGTCCACCAGAGGTCCCCTTATCCCCTTCCTCACTTTTCTCTTTCTAAGCGTAAACCTTGCTGGTTCCGATGGTTGAGGGCTCTAGGAACCTCTCTCTGTCGTGTGGGTCAGTGAAGAAGATTGACAGATGTTGCATCAAGCCATCTCGGAAGCAATGTTGAAGAAGGGTGTTGCCCTGCTGAAGAAAGACAAGTGATTAATCCAGCCTTGTGAAAAGTTAGAGTCACCCTGATTTGCACACACTATCAGAAGGGCTGGGCTTGGGGACAATATAAAGGTGTTTGACATTGGGGAACGACTTAATTCCTTCCAGCATTATCTCAGAGACCTGTCAGGTAAGACTGTTTCTGCTCTTAGCACTTCTCGATAAAAGTTCTAATTTTATCCTGATACTCTACATTTCTGGAGTTGCTTGGATAATCTCTTTCAGCTCTGGTGCTGTTATTATTGCTGCAGCTGAAAGGAGCTCCTCCTCATCTTGCTACTGGGGTTGTGCTACTACAGTGCATAGCTACTATTCCTATGACTGTAACGTTTTATGGTAACTGTGCATTAAGGGTAATCATCCAACTGGGCATTTAGTGTACGAAGATGGTTCATTCTGCATCTTGTGTTGATGGAAAGCTGCTAATGGGCCACCTTTGGAAAATGGGAAACAAATTGTAATAATAACCGTTAGTCAATCAGAATAACAGAGTTAGAAGGGACCTTGGAGGTCTTCTAGTCCAACCCCCTGCTCAGGCAGGAGACCCTGTACCATTTCAGACAAATGGCTGTCCAGTCTCTTCTTAAAAGCCTCCAGTGATGGAGCACCCAAAACTTCTGGAGGCAATCTTTTGGGTTCCTTCACCGGGTTGTGGAGCTGTTAATGATAAGTGGTTTGAACATCCCTTTCTTACAAATATTTCGGGTCCTGTGGGAAGGTGAGAACATGAGGTGTGAACCTTTTCTCTCTGATTTGCAGATTTTTTTTTGGAGTGAAAATGGCGTCTTCCCAGCACCAGCATCAATGCAAGCAAACCCCCACTTTGCCGCCGGAGCTCTGCAAGAAAGCGCCATGCCCACCAGAGCAGCAATGCAAGGAGCCACCAGTGGTGGTCATCCCGACTCCATGTCCAGAACCCAAGCCACGTCCTCCACAGGAGCCTCCATGCAAGGAGCCACCAGTGGTGGTCATCCCGACTCCATGTCCTGAGCCTAAGCCACGTCCTCCACAGGAGCCTCCATGCAAGGAGCCTCCAGTCCCAACCCCTCCCCAGGAGAAACAGCCTTGTCAACAGAAGTCTCAATGCAAGGAGCCACCAGTCATCCCAACTCCATGCCCAGAGCCCAAACCCCCACAAGAGGCTCCACGCAAGGAGCCACCAGCACCATCTCCATGTCCTCCTGAAGAACCAGAACCATGTCCTCCACGCAAGGAGCCACCAGCACCATCTCCATGTCCTCCTAAAGAACCAGAACCGTGTCCCCCAAAGGAGCCAACTCCAGATTGTCAACAGAAGACTCAATGCAAGCAGCCTCCCATTGTGGTCATCCCAACTCCATGTCCAGAACCCAAACCGTGTCCTCCACGCAAGGAACCACCAGCACCATCTCCATGTCCTCCTAAAGAACCAGAACCGTGTCCTCCACGCAAGGAACCACCAGCACCATCTCCATGTCCTCCTAAAGAACCAGAACCGTGTCCTCCAAAGGCGCCAATTCCAGATTGTCAACAGAAGACTCAATGCAAGCAGCCTCCATGTCCAGAACCCAAACCGTCTCCTCCACAGGAGCCTCCATGCAAGGAGCCACCGGTTGTGGTCATCCCGTGCCCGGAACCCAAACCGTGTCCTCCTCAGGAGCCTCCATGCAAACAGCCGCCTCCCTGTGACCAGCAGCAGAAGAAGCAGCCGACTTCATGGCCGCTCCAGAATAAATGAGCAGGTCAGGGGAAAAAACGAGTGAAGAATCCATTTCTCCAACTCTACATCTCACCACGTCAAACATACCTCATCTTTGTATCCCTTTGAAATGCTTTAAGAAATCCTTCTAACGTTGCACGAGGGGAATCACAGCAAACGATGTAAATGTCCATCAAGGTGATTTTGTGTCCATTTCCAGCCAGAGTGGACTTTTTCAAGAGAGGTGCAACAGAATCTCCCAATTCCTTTGGGCGTTTTCTCTTTATGTTAACCACACTGTTACATTTATTCTATCGTTTTCCTGATGGCTCATTTGTCTGTAAAGTTTGTAATTACTTAACTATTCTTTGTACCATTTATAGATGCCCAAAGGAGGTGTGCTGTGGGACTCAGTGGTTTTTTTTCAACACCAGCAGTTCTTGAAGAACATGGTAGGGTTGGGTGTCAATGAAACATAAAGCTAGCTTAGATCCCTCCAAGGAGAGAGAAGCTCCACCTTGTTATTTAAGCTCCTTCCTTTCACTGTCACCAGAAATCTGTTCTGTGACTTCCTTATTCAGCTATTTGTCCTACCTTTAGATAAAACAAAGTCCTAGGTCAACTAAAATGCCAGATCTGCTCTCTGTGGAGAAGAAATTGTGGTTGGTGGCTCTCCAGGGGTTGATAGACTATCATTGGATCAGTGGCCAATAATCTTATTGGCTAGGATGGGTAGGAATTGGACTACAAACCATATCCCAAAGAGCCATAAATTCTTCATCTTGGTTTGGAATGTCCAATGAAGTCTTAGGTCCTGCAATATGTCTTTCAAAAAGACCTCAGTTGTCTTCTGGAATGGCAAGACCTATCAGAAGACACTGGGAAGTTCTTTAGTCTTCAGGGAGAAGCTCAGCCTATCAGCTGCCAATGAAATATTGGGCAAAGGAATGAATCTTTTCAGGGTTTCTCCATCAGAGTTACACCCCAAAATAATTAACATTCAGAAAGTCATCGTTTTCAGTACATTGCAGGAAGCTGGAGGACACCTGTATCATCAAGTGGGTTTCCTCTTCACGGGGGTCAACATGTTGCTATGAAGTAGCTGAGTCTGCACACTTCCGAATTTATATTTAACCAACTTGTAGATAAATCGAATGAATAAAGGAAAAACAATGAATCCGTTGACTTTTGTTTTGAAAAAAAAATCCACATCCAATTTGGGTAAAAAAAATAAATAATCTGCATCAAGGTTGAGTCCTGCGAATTCAGCACTGACTTTAATTTAAAAAAAATACTAATTATACGAAGCAAGTAGAGTGTCGTAAAGAATGGGGATAAAGCAGACAGATGTAGATAAGTTGAAGTCTTCCAGCTTAATCCCCAAACTAGGCCAACGGAGGTTAACCTCAAGCAGGTGACAAACAGTGGCAAGACACCTGCCAGATGTGAGGGATAGTGTTCACGTCAACTCTTATGCAACGCAACTTTTTAAGAATTTTGAGATCTGGTACTAAGATGAAAACTGAATCATTGGGGAGGTCAAGTTCAGGCTTCTCACAAAGTCAAAGTTCACAATGTGTAGGTCAAGTAGAACAGATTTAGAATGTGGGAGCATCTTGGCCTTAATTTTTGAGAGTGGAGATGACCTCAAGCGGACAGCAGAGAGAGGTTTGATGGTGGACAATTATCTCTTCATTTTTTTAATTGTAGCCCACTGACAGGAAGGAAGAGCTGTATATTTCACAGAAAAGTGTCCTGGAGAATATCAAGCACTGTTAGATGATCACCTTGAGTTTAGGATTCCAGAACCATCAGCAGAAGTAGAATTAGAGGGGGCCTTCAAAAGACTGAACAGGGACAAGGAGGAGACAATCCCACCCCACTCCAAAGGAGACAATCCCGCCCCACTCAACCATCAATGTTATAGCAGAACTAGTAGATCAGAACTTAGTCTGGAGAACTTCCAGATGAGTCCACTTCAACCCACCCAGCATGGTCCCCAAGGAGAATTCTGGGAGTTGAATTCTGGGAGTTGAACAAATGGGAGGTGCTCTACTAGACAATCACCTAGATCAACTTGATGCTCTACTAGATCAACAATAGAGAAGGCCTTCAATGAAGTGACAGGTCTACTCAAGTGTAGATACTTACTCCAAGCAACCTTTTGGTGAATTAAGCCCTAGAGGCTAAAAAATTTAAATTTGCTGGGAAGCGATTGTAATTTATCAAGGAAGAAATACTGTACTGATAAAGAGGTCCATTAACAATGGATATGCAAAAAAAAATTACAATATTGCTAAGAACGAGGGAAGGTGCTCTCAACTCTGCTGATGCGTGCACAACATGGGAAGGCTGACAGTACACAATTAGTCTCCAGTTTGTATACTGCTGTATGCTAGTTTGTAAGAAGAGCAGATTTACTGCCCCAACGTGTTTATTCACTTTCTTTCTTCCTGATCTGTGGGTGCCGGCTAGTTCTTATCAAAATAAAAATATTCCTGCCTTCTTCGCTGAGGCAGGATTCGGCACTCTTGCAAAATTCATACCAGGAAGTTTAAAAAAAAAAAAAAGACGGATCTCTGCAGGGTGAATTTGGGCAGGAAGAAAAGACGGTTGAGATAAGACATGGGAACTCATTTGAGAAAGAAGGAAGACAATTAGGGAGGGAGGGAGGGAGGGAGGGAGGAAGGAAGGAAGGAAGGAATAGCCCTTAGACTTATATACTGCTTCACAGTGCTTTACAGCCCTCTCTAAGCAGTTTACAGAGTCAGCCTATCTCCCCCAACAATCTGGATCCTCGTTTTACCGTCCTTGGAAGGACAGAAGGCCGAGTCAATCTTGAGCCGGTCAAGGATCGAACTCCTGGCAGTCGGCAGAGTTAGCCTGCAAATACAGCATTCTAACCACTGCGCCACCACAGCTCAAAGCAACAACACTGCCATATGAAATGTATGGACGAGGAATGAGCACCGAGAAGGTCTTGAGAGGAATGAGGAGACAAGCGAGGATTTGCTGACAAACAAACATTTATTGATAGGCTGCCATCGCTAGACAAAGGACACTTCCTACAGGAGTTTAGCACTGCTGCTGCGGGTGGTGGTGGCAGAAGCATCCCTCTCCTCCAGATGGGTAGGTGGGATTCTGGCAAGAATTTCCAGTTGATCCTGAGCAGTGAGTTTCAGTTGATCTTGGCCACTGAGATCCAGTAGATCCTGGGCACTGAGGTCCAGTAGATCCTGGGCACTGAGGTCCAGCTGACCCTGGGCACTGAGGTCCAGACAAGGCATAACATGCTGATGACTCACATGACTTTGAGCAACTTGAAGTACACCGGCAGGATACTGGTGGGATACATGGTGACTGCTTGTACTGCTGTTGAGACATCGTCAGCTCAAGGACAACTGAAAAGATAGAGAGCAAAAATTAAAAAACATTTTTTTAGAGACACATAGAATAGCACAGATCTCTCCTTGACTTTTCTCAGGATCCCTGGGAGGGAGAAAAGAACCTTGCTCTGGGCTAGGGTTACAACCAAAATGTCTTGTCCTCCAGACTGTGGGCCATAAATTTGATTGGGGTCACAGGCCACAGTTCATTTGTCAACCTGGTCGCCCTAGCTTGTTCAGAAAAATCACAGACCTATTTTCATCTTAATTCGAGTGGGGAACAAACCTTAGTCCTTAAAGATCCAGGTTCCTGAATAACAAGGAGATGGGGAGAGAGGGAGAGGGAGAGAGGCAGAGACAGAAAGAGGGGGGAGATGGAGAGAACAAGAGGGACAGAGAGAAAGAGGAAGAGAGGAGAGAGACAGACAGACAGACAGGGAGAGGGAGAGACGAAGAGTTTTAACTACAATAAGAAGAAGCAACACAAACTAAATAGAACCGAAAAGGAAAAGAAAAAGCTAAAATTGAAAAAAAAAGTAAGAAGATAAAGAAAAAGATAATATATCAAGAAGTGGTTTCCAACTTTCCTCAAAGCAGCTACAAGTACAATTATATTTTAACCTCTCTCTCTAAGGCTCCAGGCACCGTGACTCATTTCTTTCTCAACCTTCAAAAGAAGGACTCCAAAGTGGAGATCAAAGAGAATCGCGTGGAGCGAGCAGGACTAGCTGTCCACCTTCTGAAATCACACCGCCACTCGGCTAATGAGCATCACCGTGATGTAAAACAATCAAACTGAATTCCTAACAACTACTTTGGGAAGGGCCATTCGCTAAGTAGGAACATAAATAACTACATCTGAAATCTCAGCTTCTAATCTTGACCCATTAGTTGAGAAAGAGGACTGAGCAATGCTGGAGAAGCTCTTTGACTCAAGATCATGGTCACTCAAGTGCCATCTACTGCACAGAAGAGGACCTCAGCCTGAAGGAGCTTTTCTTTTCCGTGGAAGATGAAGAAAAATCTGCTTGAGGTCCAACCCATCCTAGATAAAATAGCCTTGCTGTTTTCCATAATAAGCATCCAGCCAAAGGACCATCAAAATCCCATTAATTCAATGTTGGGCATCCCTCAACCTTGAAAACATAATCATGGCATGAAAGGAAGTAGATCTTGAGGAATGGGTACCTAAGTTGAGTTTCCACCTGCTTTCCGATGGACGTGGTTGCAGAAGACCCTGGCTAGATGGTTGCCTGAACGAACTTACTAAGGAAATCGTTGACTCTTGAGTAAGAATTAGGCAGAGAAAGATATGTCCCAAAGCAAACAGATCCGACTTACCCACGACTTGATGACAGACGGGGATGCTCAAGGAAGGCTCGAAAGCTTTGTCAGGTGTTCAAAGGAAAGATCTTATATAGCTCCTCGTGGCATAATTCATCGAGAAACACAGAATGACAAGGTCTGTGTCCTTCGCGAAGATTGACAGAAAGAGAAGCCACCCTGGTGGCATCACGGGGCTTTCAGCTCCTAAATTTCCCTTTTTTTCTGAAAAAAAATAATAAAGGACAGAAGAAGCATCCACCCACGTGGAGAACAACGTGTCTCTCTTAATGAGGCTTTGATAGATGGTTGACCTATGGCTAATGAAGCGTTCATAACTTTGTCTTCCTATCTCACATGGTTTGGGAAAGCCAACCTTGGCTGATGGCCATAAGCTTCAACCGGCATCATGGGGGGGATGAAGGCCAGAGGAGAAGATCCAGGCCCAAAGGAGAAGGTCCAGGAGATTCTGCATCCTGGATACATCCCCCTAAATCTATGTGCAAATTCTTAGAAGGCTTAGTTACCTAAATTAATTAAGTCGGCCTCAAGTGGAAGCAAAGTGGTCCAATTAAAGTCAGCTTAGAAGAGAAACAGGATTGTCCATTGGGTTATAAAATGTTCCCCTACCACAAATCTGCTATTTAAGGTTCCCTCTGTTGTGGTGATTGTCTTTATTTCATTCTTCAAGGAATAACCTAGAACGAAGAGCAAATAAAATGGTGAGGTTCTTTAGATGCACCAAATCCAGCCAGAAACTTAGGAATTATTCAAGTAATGTCATTATTGCTTCTTTCTTCCTCCTGCTATTCATCTACTTCTTCTCCTTTTCCTTCTTCCAAACATGTTTGACCTTTGTCCAAAGCATTTTCAGATCACCCTTTAGCAAATAAATAAATAAATTCCAGGAGAAGGAAGGACAGTCTTGCAGAAGGATATTTAGGTAGCTAGGTTTTGACCAACATGTGACCTTGGAAAATCACCCAGCATTTACTCTGAGCAGAGTTTGATCATTTCAGAAGACGGCGACTGGAAAAAAAAGGGTCCTTGATTGGTGATATATGAGAAGGCCAAAGAGGAACTAGTTGAGCGAGAAGACACCAATGATGGTGGCCACCACATTTGACTCGATCACTCAAACTCATCACTCTCTGAAGGAAAGTTGCATGCCCTCATTAAATCGGACGTGTTTTCAAAACAGGGTGTTTAATTACTGAAGGAAAAAATTGTTAAAAATCACACAAGTCCATTTGAGGCAAATCTCTTGATGACAAGGGGGGTGTTGAAGCTGCATGAGTCTTCAGTCACTCACGTTGACTTCCTGGGTAGGTTAGAAGTGGAAGGAACTCAACGGGTATAAAACGACCAGACGTGGCTCCAGATCCAGCAAGCGTTCCTCTCCTCCTGCCTGGACTAAGTTCACACTTCGTGTTGGGTAAGTTGACTTCAGGACGGTTGTCCTTT